GCTGCCACTCCTATGCCCTTAACCCCAGTAAATGCTGTGGGTTGACTCTCCGAATTTTTTCCCCCTGAACGTTTCTAATGGAATGTTCCTTGTTTATGTTCTTTGTAAGCCACTTTGGATCTCACTTTGAGAGAAACAAGAAGGGAATAAATGCAGTAAATAAAGTGAAATAATTAAATGAATAAATGAACAAACAAATACAAGAATAGCTGGTGGAATACCTTGGTCAATCCTACCCAAGTTAAGTCAGTGATATCTATATAAATAAAAATGTAATGTGCGTTTGTGATATTCACAGAACTCAAAAATGAAAGGCCGAACAGGTTACAGCCTGTGCTTGACAGGGTTACACTCCCCCTGAAGGCGCAGGTTCGCAGCTTGGGAGTGATCCTGGACTCATTGCTGAGGTCTCGGCGGTGGTCAGGGGAGCTTTTCACAATTAAAGCTTGTGCGCCAGCTGCGCCCGTACCTTGGGAAGTCTGACTTGGCCACGGTGATCCACGCTCTGGTTACATCCTGTCTAGACTACTGCAACGCTCTCTACGTGGGGTTGCCTCTGAAGACTGCCCGGAAGCTTCAATCAGTCCAACGAGCGGCAGCCAGATTGCTAACAGGAGCGGGGTACAGAGACCATACGACCCCTCTGTTACGCCAGCTCCACTGGCTGCCGATTAGCTTCCGTGCACAATTCAAAGTGCTGGTTTTGACCTATAAAGCCCTCAACGACTCCGGCCCAGTTTACCTGTCCGAATGTATTCTCCCCTATGAACCATCAAGGTTATTAAGATCTTCTGGAGGGGCCCTGCTCTCGGTCCCACCACCCTCGCAATCACGGTTGGTGGGGACGAGGGACAGGGCCTTCTCGGTGGTGGCTCCCCGGCTTTGGAACTCCCTCCCACTAGAGATTAGATCTGCTCCCTCCCTCCTGACTTTCAGGAAACTACTAAAGACCTGGCTCTGGAATGTGGCATTCGAGGACTGAATCTATAACCTCCGTCCACAAGGAAGGAGGATGATGAACTGTGACTATGACTATGACTATGACTGGATTGACGACTTGGCTTGGGTAATTGTGATGATGATGTTTTTATTGTACTTTATTGTACTATTTTAATCTGTAATGACGTTGCACTTTGTTGTACTTATATATTATTGTATTTGCATATATGTTGTAAACCGACCTGAGTCCCTCGTTGAGGTGAGAAGGCCGGTATAGAAAACTTCCAAATAAATAAATACCCCCTGGACGAATTGGCACCAAATTTGGCAGCAAAACACATTGTAATCCGATCTATGTCTTCCAAACAAAAAAAATTTAAAAGGAAGGGGAAATAACTTTAATATCCCCCCCCCCCCCAAAAGTACCTGCCTGCAGGAGTGGCTGCACACACTCCTCCCCCTCACTTAGGACCGTCAGGTGAAGGGAGGATGCAAACCCCTTACAAACTGCCACAGAAGGAAGGGAGGAAGGAAGGGAAAGAAAGGAGAGAAGACAGGAAGAAAAGGACTGGTGAAGAGAAGGATAGGAATGGAAGGAAAGAAAGAGGAAGGAAAGGAGGCAGGGATGGGAGAGGAAAGGAAGGAAGAGAAAGGAGAGAGGAAGGAAGGGAGGAAGAAAGGAATTATTATTATTATTATTATTATTATTATTATTATTATTATTACGGAGAGTCTAAATAGCCATCTATTATTTATTTATTTATTTATTTATTTATTATTTACTTTATGTCTATACCACTTTTCTCAGCCCTCAGGCGACTCAAAGCGGTGAACAACATCAGTACAAAATATCACAAAACAAGTATAGGGCAATTAAAAACAATTATCACATAAATCATTAACAACAGTATAACAATCATTAGCGCCTCAACAGTAAAATCGGAATCCAGTCTCATCATCCATTATTCCGTATTCCTATGTTCAATTACACTGTTTAATCAAATGCTTGTTCGAACAGCCAGGTCTTCACTTTCCTCCAAAACGCCAGCAGGGAGGGGGCCGATCTGATATCTACAGGCAGGGCGTTCCACAGCAGAGGGGCCACCACTGAGAAGGCCCTGTCTCTCGTTCCCGCCAACTGTACTTGTGATGATGGCGGGACCGAGAGCAGGGCCTCTCCAGATGATCTTAGTGTCCTAGTTGGTTCATAGGAGGAGATGCGTTTGGAGAGGTAAGTAGGGCCAGAACCATTTAGGGCTTTATAGGCTAAAGCCAGCACTTTGAATTGTGCCCGGTAGCAAACTGGTAGCCAGTGGAGCTGGCGCAACAGATGAGTAGTACGCTCCCTGAGTGCCGCTCCTGTTACCAACCTGGCTGCCGAGCGCTGGACCATTTGAAGCTTCCGAGCAGTCTTCAAAGGCAACCCCACGTAGAGAGCATTGCAGTAGTCTATGTGGGATGTAACCAGAGCGTGGACTACCGTGGCCAAGTCAGACTTCTATCAGGAGTGTTTTGCTGTGCTTTTCCCTTAAGCCAGAAGGAAGTTGTACTGGACGGCCCTTGCAAGTCTCCCTACTCTAGGATTCTATTACTATTATTCTTAATATTATTATTAAGCTGAGTCTCTATGGCCATCTGTTAGGAGTGCTTGGATTGTGTTTTTCCCTTATGGCAGAGGGAGGTTGTACTGGATGGCCCTTGGAGGTCTCTTGCAACACTAGGATCCTATTACTGTGGATTCCTCCCAAATCCCTCCAGTATTTTCTTGTGGTCATGAAGGTTCTGTGGGCCAAGTTTGGTTAAGATCTGTCATTCATGGGGGTCTTAGTGGTCTGTGGAAGTCTGAGCTGAATCAGTTGAAGGTACTCCAAACCCCATACTCCCCAAACTTATTGTTTTTTGTGATAAATCAGTATGCTTTCATTATGTTCAATTTATAACAACAGAAATACAATGTATTGCCGAAGACTTTCAACATAAATACATCTTGCATATCAGATATTTACATGATGATTCAGAAGAGTAGCAAAATGACAGTTATGAAGGAGCAATGAAAATAGAATTATGGTTGGGGGTCACCACAACATGAGGAACTGCATTAAGGGGTTGTGGCATTAAAAAAAGTATAGAAACACTACTAAAGACATTCTATAAAAAAAAAATTGTCGTGTCAGGAGCGACCTGAGAAACTGCAAGTCACTCCTGTTGTGAGAGAATTGGCCGTCTGCGAGGACATTGCCCAGGGGACGCCCGGATGATTTGATGTTTTTATCATCCTTGTGGGAGGCTTCTCTCATGTCCCCGCATGAGGAGCTGGAGCTGATAGAGGGAGCTCATCCGCCTCTCCCCGGATTCGAACCTGTGACCTGTCGGTCTTCAGTCCTGCCGGCACAGAGCTTTTAACCCACTGCGCCACCGGGGGCTCCTCTATAAAAATAAGTACTTATCTATAAAAATAAGTAAAACACTGTCGGTGTATTTATGATTAACATAAATCAAAAACCACTGGGCGAATAGACACCAAATTTGGACAAAATACATATATCAGGCCAGCAACAAGTGACCATCACTCATAAAAACCCTGCTACAAAACAGGAGCTTTTTTGTTGAGTTCCAGGGCCAGAGAAGCAGATGGCAGAAACAGAAGAATGACCTGCCTCAGGGGAGCGCGCTTGTTCCATCCATGTTCAACATCTACACAAACGACCAGCCACTGCCAGAAGGGATGGAGAGCTTCATCTATGCTGATGATCGTGCCATTACTGCTCAAGCAGGGAGCTTTGAGACTGTAGAACAGAGGCTCTCCGAAGCTCTAGGTGCTCTTACTGCCTACTACAGGGAAAACCAGCTGATCCCTAACCCATCTAAAACACAGACATGTGCCTTTCATCTCAAGAACAGAGAAGCATCCTGAGCTCTGAAGATCACCTGGGAAGGAATCCCACTGGAGCATTGCAGCGCACCCAAATACCTGGGAGTCACTCTGGACCGTGCTCTTACCTACAAGAAGCACTGCCTGAACATCAAGCAAAAAGTGGGTGCTAGAAACAATATCATACGAAAGCTGACTGGCACAACCTGGGGATCACAACCAGACACAGTGAAGACATCTGCCCTTGCGCTGTGCTACTCTGCTGCTGAGTACGCATGCCCAGTGTGGAACACATCTCACCACACTAAAACAGTGGATGTGGCTCTTAATGAGACATGCCGCATTATCACGGGGTGTCTGCGCCCTACACCACTGGAGAAATTACACTGCTTAGCCGGTACTGCACCACCTGACATCTGCCGGGAAGTAGCAGCCAATAGTGAAAGGACCAAGGCAGAGACATCTCCAGCTCATCCCGTTTGGGTATCAGCCAGCACGCCAACGACTTAAATCTAGAAATAGTTTTCTAAGATCTACAGAGACACTCACTGGAACACCTCAGCAAGCGAGAGTCCAAAAGTGGCAGGCTCAAACCCAACCTCAACCAATGGCTGATACCAAATGAGAGACTCCCTCCTGGGCACACAGAAGACTGGGCAACTTGGAAGGCGCTGAACAGACGGTGCTCTGGCACCACGAGATGCAGAGCCAACCTTCAGAAATGGGGCCACAAAGTTGAATCCATGACATGCGAGTGTGGAGAAGAGCAAACCACTGACCACCTGCTGCAATGCAACCTGAGCCCTGCCACATGCACAATGGAGGACCTTCTTGCAGCAACACCGGAAGCACTCCAAGTGGCCAGATACTGGTCAAAGGACATTTAACCAGCTACCAAACTCACAAGTTGTGTATTTTTCTGTTTGTTTGCTTTGTTCTGTTCGAAATGTAATATAATGGACTGATTGCTCTGACACGACAAATAAATACTCATAAAAACACTGAAAAACATAACAGAAGAGACTGAAAAAGCAAAAAACATTACAATGCATGCACAACACAACATATTTACACATATACACACATATATACATATACACACACACAAAATACATATACACAGACTGGGCCACAGCAATGCGTGGCAGGGGACAGCTAGTGGAAAATAAAAAGAGGTGCCTCTACTTACCACCACCTGACCATTGACTTGAAGCACCTCGTCTCCCGGGAAGACTCTGTTGCCGTATTCGGCCGAGGACTGAAAAAAAGAAAGTAAACACACAAACAAAACAGGACAACGTCAAATCCAAGCCAGAGCTGGAAAGAGGCAACGTAGACACTTTTCACCAAGTGAAATCCAAGTAAGAAGCTTTCTAGACAGTGAAAGTCGAGATTGCAAAGGGAGGGGGGGAAGGTTGCCGCTTAAGAAGGGATTAAGCATTAACTTTAAGCCCTGACCTTTTCAGTCATTCCAGCTCGGCAAAGGATGCAAGAGAAGGAACGAGCCATGCTGAGGAGCCGAGAGAAACGTGGGGAGAAGAATTTCCATCTAAGTTTAGTATGACGCAAACAGGGTCACTATGGAGGCAACACGGCATAAAGTTTGGGAGTGTTACTTACGACAACTCCCCAAATCTCCCACAAGATGTCAGGAGGTTCTGGGCATTGTAATCCAAAAAAGCAATATCTCCAAACTTTTACTTCAGCCCCATTCTGCTTAGCAAAGAAATACCTCTGGGTGAAGGTGGGCTATTTTAAGATCTCATTTCATGCTCCCTTCCCTGCAGGAATGGGCTCAAGGGGATGAGTCAATGCCGCAAATACAGTTCCTATCACAGTTTCACTCACCTCGGGGGCAGTTCCTGATATGAAATGGAGACAAGAAGGTGAGGACTTAATCTCAATGCCCTGAAGAGACAAGAAGGAAGAAGCCGAGTTATCAGAACCAAATTCGGTTTCAAGGATCAGGGAGGAGGGACCATACACCTGCTTTACAGTCTCAGGTGAACGACTCTACGTTGGCCAAAGTAGACAATATTACAGATATATTGTCGAAGGCTTTCATGGCTGGAATCACTGGGTTGTTGTAGGTTTTTCGGGCTAAATGGCCATGTTCTAGAAGCATTCTCTCCTGACGTTTCACTTGCATCTATGGCAAGCATCCTCCCCATCTTGTTACATCTCGTATAGACTACTGCAATGCTCTCTATGTGGGGTTGCCTTTGAAGACTGTCTGGAAGCTTCAACTGGTCCAACGGACAGCAGCCAGATCGCTAACAGGAGCGGCTCTCAGGGAGCATACAACTCTCTTGTTGCGCCAGCTCCACTGGCTGCCAGTTCGCTACCGGGAACAATTCAAAGTGCTGGCTTTAGCCTATAAAGCCCTAAACGTTTCTGGCCCAGCTTACCTGTCCAAACAAATTTCCCCTTATGAACCTGCAAGAACTTTAAGATCATCTGGAGAGGCCCTGCTCTCGGTCTCGCCATCATCACAAGTACGGTTGGCGGGAACGAGAGACAGGGCCTTCTCAGTGGTGGCCCCTTGGCTATGGAATGCCCTTCCTAGGGAGATTAGATCGGCTTCCTCGCTCCTATCATTCCGGAAGAATCATAAGACATGGTTATTTGAGTGGGCATTTGAAAATACGGAGTAACAGATATAATAATGGAATAACTATATGGTGGAACTGGACATTGTTTTAATGATTATCAATTGAAGTATATTTCATTATAATGTTTGATTTTATTGTTGCTGATGTTTTTATATTGTATTTTGTAATTGTGTCCTTGGTGGCATTGAATTCTTGCCTTGTAAACCGCCTCGAGTCGCCGGAAGGCTGAGAGGGGCGGTATAGAAATGTACTAAATAAATAAATAAGCCCAACAATACAGCAATGCAAATAAACAACATACAACATTAAAATATAGAAACAAAATTAAATACAAGAAACAATATAAATAAGCACATCAAACAATGTAAAATCACAATAATTTAACACAGAAAATAAATCACAGTGTGCAGGGCCAGTTGCTGGTGGTGCCGCGGGTTAAACTGTGGAGTTGCTGAATTTCTGACCAAAAGGTTGGCAGTTCGAATCCTGGGAGCAGGGGGAGCTCCTGCTGTTAGCCCCAGCTTCTGTCAACCTAGCAGTTCGAAAACACGCAAGTGTAAGTAGATCAATAGGTGCCGCTTCTACAGGAAGTTAACGGCACTACATGCGGTCATGCCAGCTACATAACCTTGGAGGTGTCTTCAGACAATGCCAGTTCTTTGGCTTAGAAATGGAGATGAGCACCAACCCCCAGAGTCGGATACGACTAGACTTAATGTCAAAGGGAAACCTCTACCTTTACACATAAAGGAGTCAGCAACAAACGGCGTACTTTGCACGCCAAAGCAGTGTCTGCAATGATTATGATTTATTTTTGAATTTCTACTTCTATTTTTACTTCTCTTTACTAATAGTCAAGGATTGCATCAGTACTTATAGCTGCAGCATCAGGTTAAAAAGCTTTGCACCCAGTTTGTCCCCATAGTATCCTTACGAGAGAGAAAGAGAAGGAGATTAATGCAGAGTTGGCTCACCAGGCTGTCTTCTGGCCCAGTTGGCACGAGCTCAACTGTCTCCAAGACGGCAGTTTGATTCAGGAGGTTGGCAGGACTATGGTTCAAGATTTGCTCGCATATCCCAAAGATGTGTCTGCCCTGAAGGGTGCAAAGTAGAGAAGCATCTCCGTTAAAAAGAAACAAAAGTCCTCTTACCTTTATAAGAAAAGCAAACAATAGCTCCAGTTGCCAGTGGAGGGAGGCACATGGTCTTCAGAGACTTCTTGCGCTGGCCCAAGATAGGTTTGCATTCATGGAGTGGGACCACAAACACAGCATGAACGGGATGTTTGCATATCCCAAATATTATTGGGTTTGAGCCCACCGCTCCATTTAGTGTGTCAAATACACAATGTAAAGGTTGCTAACTGGAGCACTCGGGGAGCATACAACTCCTCTGTCGTGCCAACTCCACTGCTGCCAGTTTGCTACCGGGCATAATTCAAAGTACTGGGTTTAGCCTATAAAGCCCTAAATGGTTCTGGCCTAGCTTATCTGTCTGAACGCATCTCTCCCTATGAACCATCTAATTATTTTATTTATTTATTTACAGTATTTATATTCCGCCCTTCTCACCCCACAGGGGACTCAGGGTGGATGACAATGCACATATACATGGCAAACATTCAATGCCATAGACACACAACATACATAGACAGACACACAGAGGCTATTTAACTTTCCAGCTTCACGAGGGTATGCTTTTTGAATTCCAGCCAGCAGGGGAGCTGTCACTTCACCACCCACTTGTGACACCGATGGAGTACTTCCTCATTCTTTTGCATGCTGCTGGAGAGTTTTATGGTGTCTTAAATCAGTTAAATTAGCCTCCCCACATAAGCGGTACCTAAATTTCGAATTGTCTTTTGAGCTGCAAAGGTCGACAGCAAGCTAGACAAATGGTTGGGTGCTTACTCTGACCCAGGCTGGCTTCGAACTCATGACCTTTTGGTCAGTAGTGATTTTAATGCAGCTGACTCCCAACCAGCTGCACCACAACCCGTCTAGGAATTAAAGATCTAAAGTTATATTAAGATTTGTTGAAATTGTAACTCGTAAAGCTTTATACCTCAGGAGAAGATAACTCTGAAACCATTAAGACCCTTCCATACTCCAAATAAACTTGTTCTTGTTTTAGTAACTCAAGTCTCAGTGTACTATTTCAAAGAAAAAAGGAAACCTCGCTGCACACTAAAAGAAACACTACAGAGTGGTAGCAGTGAATCTATTTGAAAATAGGGGAATCCATTAATAAACTAAATAGGAAACCCTTATTAATTGGTGGCAGCATAGCCTAGTACCTCACAGATGGTGGCAGCATACTAGATTGAATAGAATATCAGACAACGAAGAGGAAGCCTTTACAGGTGGCATTAAAAAAAACCCACAAACCGCAATACTTACAATCAGTAAGATCCGCTCTTCCCTCTCAGAGACTGTGCAGTCCTGCAAGAAGCAATGCAAAGAAAGCTAAAGCAACATCGTCTACGTAAGGCTCTTTTCAAGCTAAACCTGGAAAAAGTGGGGGCCTGAGTTGTAAGAGTGTAGCGATGGTTCAAACTAAATACAGATGGAGTCTCCCTTATCCAAAATGCTTGGGACCAGTAGTATTTGGATTCCCCCCTCCCCAAGTTATGGAACATTATACTGTATGCATATAATACATGTACATAATGAGCTATCTTGGAAATGGGACCTAGATCTAAACATGACATTTCTTTATGTTCCATATAAACCTTATACACATAGCCTGGAGGTTATTTCACACAATGTATTGTCAAAGGCTTGCCATAGATGCAGGCGAAATGTCAGGAGAAAATGCCACTAGAACATGGCCATATAGCCCGGAAAAACCTACAACAACCCAGTATTTCACACAATATTTTTAATAATTTCTGCATGAAATGAAGCTTGTGCACAATAGCTCAGCAGACAACAAAGGTGCAACCATCTCAGTCTTCAAGGCATGGGGTTCTGTGTGGGAAGTTTGGCCCAATTCTATCATTGGTGGGGTTCAGAATGTTCTTTGATTGTAGGTGAACTATAAATCCCAGCACCTACAACTCCCAAATGTCAAGGTCGATTTTTCCCCAAACTCCACCACATTTGGGCATATAGGGCATTTGTGCCAAGTTTGGTCCAGATCCATCATTGTTTGAGTCCACAGTGCTCTCTGGATGTAGGTGAACTACAACTCCAAAACTCAAGGTCAATGCCCACCAAACCCTTCCAGTATTTTCCGTGGTCATGGGAGTTCTGTGTACCAAGTTTGGTTCAATTCCATCATTGGTGCAATTCAGAATGCTCTTTAATTGTAGGTGAACTATAAATCCCCAATCCAAAGAACACAGATAGCTATACCAAATAGCAAAATGAAAGTTGTATACTGTTATAGACAACCGTGCTGAGCAGTTCTCAAATATATTAGGACTTGTATCGTGAGTGTTATTGTTCAGCGATTTATTTTCAGATTAAACCGACTTGGGACGTGTATCGTGAGTGTTATTGTTCAGAGAACTATAAATCTCAGCAACTACAACTCCCAAATGACAAAATCAACCCCCAGCTCCAACATCACCAGTATTCAAATGCGGATGTATCGGGTATTTGTGCCAAATTTAGTCCAGTGAATGAAAATAACATCCTGCATATCAGATATTATTTATTTATTCATTATTTATTTACAGTATTTCTGTAAATAAGACTCTAGGGGGACTCAAAGCGGTTTATACATAACTGGCAAAACTTCAATGCCATACACTGGATACTGACGTGATGCCAATCCATAATAACCACAATAATAAAACCACGATTAAACATAAATCATAATTAGACAGTACATAAGCAATCATTAAAACAATAAATAATAAAAACAGTCTCGCCAGTTGTATTGCCATTCTAGGCCATGTACTTTAAACTCTACAAACATCTACTGTCCGAAGGCCTGGTCCCAAAGCCATGATTTTAATTTCTTTCTGAAAGCCAGGAGGGAGGGAGCAGATCTTACCTCATTTGGGAGTGTGTTCCATAGGCGAGGGGCCACCGCCAAGAAGGCCCTGTCTCTCGTCCCCACCAGACGCATTTGTGCAATTGACAGGAGCGAGAGCAGGGCCTCCCCGGATGATCTTAGATTACGAGATGGGACGTAGGGGTGGATGCATTCGGACAAGTAAGATATTTACATTATGATTCATAGCAGTAGCAAAATGACAGTTATGAAATAGCAGCGAAAATAATTTTATGGATGGGGGTCATCACAACATAAGAAAGGTTGAAAACCACTGCACTAAGTGAATTTGCTAAATTTAATGATTTGACTCAATTTTTCAGATTCCTTTTCATGAAGGGTAGAAACTCTGAGTTAAGATGAGAAATCAATTTCACAGCCTTTGGCTTCTGTTTTCTATACAATGCTTTCTCAACCTCTTTTTAAAACCTTTCTACTTATTTTGCAGCACATTGTAGGCAATGCCCTCTTTCTCTCCCATCTTAATGTTTCCTGGAGAAAATTATACACTAGCAGGATTTCATTTACTGTACTTTTAAATTGCAAGATAAACTTATCTCCCCATCAGAAAGATGAGGTCTTTTGTAAAGCTAATAGCTTTCAATTGCCCAAAATCCACCCCCACCTTCCAAATACTTTGCATTTCAATAGGGATTGGCTCACCACAGTATTTTTGTGGCTGGGAAAAACCCATTTTCCCTTCAATTACTGTAAGAGTTGCAGGTGAACTTGGAGGAAGTGGGGAAGCCCTAAGGCAGGCGGGGGAAGGAGGTTATATCATGATAGTCGCTCATCAGAAGGTCTCAGTGCTCTGAAACCAATGAGTCTTTTTGGTTTCACTTCAAAACTAACTTATCAAGACAAGCAAAAGAGCACTTGCAGATTGCAGCACCAAACCAGTCTGATTCAATCTTGCCCTTTCTTCTGGCAATTCAAAGATCTTGTAGCTGCACTCTTTCTTAGTCAAATTCACTGCGTACAAACTGAGACCAGGCATGGGCAAACTTAGGCCTTCCAGGTGTTTCGGACTCCAACTCCCACAATTCTTGAGCTCTGAGGATAACCTGGGAAGGAATTCCAATGGAGCATTGCAGCACACCCAAATACCTGGGAGTTACCCTAGACCGTTCTCTGACCTACAAGAAGCACTGCTTGAATATGAAGCAAAAAGTGAGTGCTAGAAACAATATCATACGAAAGCTGACTGGCACAACTTGGAGATCACATCCAGATACAGTGAAGACATCTGCCCTTGCGCTATGCTATTCTGCTGCTGAGTACACATACACAGTGTGGAACACATCTCACCATGCTAAAACAATGGATTTGGCTCTTAATGAGACATGCCACATTATCACAGGATGTCTACACCCCAAACCACTGGAGAAATTATACTGTTTAGCTGGTATTGCACCACCTGACATCCAATAGGAAGTAGCAGCCAATAATGAAAGGACCAAGGCAGTGACATCTCTGGCCCATCCTCTCTTTGGACATCAGCCAGCACGCCAACACCGTAAAGAAACAGATTTCTAAGATCTACAGAGATACTCGCAGGAACATCTCAGCAAGCGAGAGTCCAAAAGTGGCAGGCTAAAAGCTGACTGGCACAACTTGGGAGATCACAACCAGACACAGTGAAGACATCTGCCCTTGCGCTATGCTATTCTGCTGCTGAGTACACATACCCAGTGTGGAACACATCTCACCACGCTAAAACAATGGATTTGGCTCTTAATGAGACATGCCACATTATCACAGGATGTCTACACCCCAAACCACTGGAGAAATTATACTGTTTAGCTGGTATTGCACCACCTAACATCCAATAGGAAGTAGCAGCCAATAATGAAAGGACCAAGGCAGTGACATCTCCGGCCCATCCTCTCTTTGGACATCAGCCAGTATGCCAAAGCCTTAAATAAAGTAATAGATTTCCAAAATCTACAGAGATACTAAGATTTCTAAGATCTACAGGAACATCTAAGCAAGCAAGAGTCCAAAAGTGGCAGGCTAAAACCCGGAACCTCAAGCTATGGCTGATACCGGATGAGAAACTCCCCCCTGGGCACACAGAAGATTGGGCGACTTGGAAGGTGCTGAACAGACTGCGCTCTGGTACCACGAAATGCAGAGCTAACCTTAAGAAATGGGGCCCCAAAGTGGAGTCCACGACATGCGAGTGTGGAGAAGAGCAGATCACAGACCACCTATTACAATGCAGTCTGAGTCCTGCCACATGCGCGATGGAGGACCTTCTTATAGCAACCAGAGGCACTCCAAGCAGCTAGCTAGTGGTCAAAGGACATTTAGTATAAGGCCAAATTTTTAACTTTTTGTTTTTTAAATACATTACAACTGTCCCCTCGGTTAGCTTCTGATACGATAAAAAGAAGCATGGAAATCAAAACCTTATATATTTAGCATACCCCAACTCTTTCTGCGATAAGATACTTTCTCTTTTCTCCTCTAGCATCGTTTTTTCAACTATCCTTTGCCAAGATAATCCTCACGCTTTCAATGCTTTCTTCTTCTACAGCTGGCCAGTGCAGATTCCCCAAAGGAGGCATTTATCACCAAACCCTTCCTGCTCATTCCACAAATTCCTCCACAGCAGGAGGCACACACACAACATGCACACATAAAAGGAACATTTTAGAGAGGTGACTTCAGACAATCCTACCTGCTAGGGTTCCTCTGAACAGAATGAAACCCCACTTGGTCTCCTTTTCCTGGGGCAAAAGCCAGCCAAAAAGGGAGACTCGCCAAACAAAAGTACCCAACCCTGACCCCGATCCCAAAGTCTGACTCACCAGATTATTTCTATACAAGACAACTCTGTCACACTCTCTCCCCTTCCAGTTCTGTTTACCACCTCCTCTCCTCCCATCCTTTCTGGTCAGCTGCCATTCCTCTTCAGTTCATGCAGTTCAAACCTCTCCGTTTCCGACAGACAGAGCGATGGAAATCGCAGCCCAAAAGTGGGTGGTTTTGTTTGGAATGTCAAGACGGAAGAGAAAGATTCAACACTGGAACAGGTTGCACAACATGACTTGGTACTGAGATCACACCACTGCATTGATAAAGAAGCTTTATCATTGTTTGTTGTTGGTTTGTCCACTTATACCACTTTAAAGGCACAGAAGAAGAGCCATCATCATAACATCAATAATGTGTGTTGTCGAAAGCGTTCATGGTTCAGTCCACCTTGGAGGAGGTGAGCTTCGCAGGTTCCTTTTACACGGTTTGCCACGGCTTTAATTGTGCTTCTTTTTTTTTATTTGGATGATGGTTCCAGCAGCACAAACTTAAACAATCACAGATGAACACCAGACGTGAAATATGGCCTACAGCCCCCTACATTTATTGATGGTCTCATCAAGTTTGCAGATGACACCAAATTGGGAGGGATAGCCAATACTCCAGAGGACAGGAGCAGGATTCAAAACGATCTTGACAGATTAGAGAGATGGGCCAAAACTAACAAAATGAAGTTCAACTGGGACAAATGCAAGATACTCCACTTAGGCAGGAAAAACGAAATGCAAAGATACAGAATGGGGGACAATGCCTGGCTCGAGAGCAGTACGTGTGAAAAAGATCTTGGAGTCCTCGTGGACAACAAGTTAAACATGAGCCAACAATGTGATGTGGCGGCAAAAAAAGCCAATGGGATTTTGGCCTGCATCAATAGGAGCATAGTGTCTAGATCTAGGGAAGTAATGCTACCCTTCTATTCTGCTTTGGTTAGACCACACCTGGAATATTGTGTCCAATTCTGGGCACCACAATTCAAGAGAGATATTGACAAGCTGGAATGTGTCCAGAGGAGAGCGACTAAAATGATAAAAGGTCTGGAGAACAAGCCCTATGAGGAGCGGCTTAAGGAGCTGGGCATGTTTAGCCTGAAGAAGAGAAGGCTGAGAGGGGATATGATAGCCATGTATAAATATGTGAGAGGAAGCCACAGGGAGGAGGGAGCAAGCTTGTTTTCTGCTTCCTTGGAGACTAGGACACGGAACAATGGCTTCAAACTGCAAGAGAGGAGATTCCATCTGAACATGAGGAAGAACTTCCTGACTGTGAGAGCCGTTCAGCAGTGGAACTCTCTGCCCCGGAGTGTGGTGGAGGCTCCTTCTTTGGAAGCTTTTAAACAGAGGCTGGATGGCCATCTGTCAGGGGTGATTTGAATGCAATATTCCTGCTTCTTGGCAGGGGGTTGGACTGGATGGCCCATGAGGTCTCTTCCAACTCTTTGATTCTATGATCCAAGTACAAACCAGGACTGACCCTACTTAGCTTTCAAGAGCAGACAGGTTGAATACCAGCCCAGTGTTTCCCAACCTTCCTAATGCTGTGACCCCTTAATATCGTTCCTCATGGTGTGGTGACCCCCAACCATAAAATTATTTTCGTTGCTACTTCATAACTGTAATTTTGCTGTATTGTCGAAGGCTTTCATGGCCGGAATCACTGGGTTGTTGTAGGTTTTTCCGGGCCATATGGCCATGTTCTGGAGGCAATTTTTCTCCTGACGTTTCGCCTGCATCTATGGCAAGCATCCTCAGAGGTAGTGAGGTCTGTTGGAAGTAGGAAAATGGGTTTATATATCTGTGGAATGACCAGGGTGGGACAAAGGACTTTTGTCTGCTGGAGCTAGGTGTGAATGTTTCAACTGAGGGACAAGAGGGATCCTCTCACCTCTGCAGAAGTCTACCGTATACCATGCAGCTGTGGACAAGTCTACATAGGGACCTCCAAATGCAGCATTGCCCAAACACGAATCAAGGAACATGAAAGGCACTGCAGACTACTTCAACCAGAGAAGTCAGCCATAGCAGAGCACCTGATGAACCAACCTGGACACAGCATATTATCGGAGAACACAGAAATGCTGGACCACTCTCACAACCACCATGTCAGACTACACAGAGAAGCCATTGAAATCCACAAGCATGTGGACAATTTCAACAGAAAGGAAGAAACCATGAAAATGAACAAAATCTGGCTACCAGTATTAAAAAAACTCAAAAATTACAACAGCAAAACAACAGAGAGTAAACAATCAGGCACATCAAATCACTCTCAACAAAAGATTCCCCCAGGCACTTCCAAGCCATTAAATGCTAATCAAGGTGGTCAGTTGAAACATTCACACCTAGCTCCAGCAGACAAAAGTCTTTTGTCTCACCCTGGTCATTCCACAGATATATAAACCCATTTTCCTACTTCCAACAGACCTCACTACCTCTGAGGATGCTTGCCATAGATGCAGGCGAAACGTCAGGAGAAAATGCCTCCAGAACATGGCCATATAGCCTGGAAAAACCTACAACAACCCTGTAATTTTGCTATTTTTATGAACTGTAATGTAAGTATTTTCAGTTACTGGACCAAATTTGGCACAAATACCCAATACGCCCAAATTTGAATACTGGTAAGGTGTTTTTTTTTTGGGGGGGGATGGACGGACGGACGGACGGACGGACGGACTGATTTTGTGATTTGGGAGTTGCAGTTGCTGGGATGCATAGTTCACCTATAATCAAAGAACATTCTGTACTCCACCAACGATGGAATTCAACCAAACTTGGCACCCAGAACTCCCATGATCAACACGAAATACTTAAAGGGTTTGGTGGGCATTGACCCTGAGTTTGGGAGTTGTAGATCACCTACATTCAGATGCACTGTGGACTCAAACAATGATGGATCTGGACCAAACATGGTACGAATACTCAATATGCCCAATTGGTGGAGTTTGGGGAAAATAGACCTTGACATTTAGGGAGCTGTAGTAGCTGGGATTTATAGTTGACCTACAATCAAAGAGCATTCTGAACCCCACCACTGACAGAATTGGGCCACACTTCCCACACAGGACCCCCGTGACCAACAGAAAATACTGTGTTTTCTGATGGTCTTTGATGAACCCTCTGAAACCCCCCTCATGACCCCCCAGAGGTCCCGACCCCCAGGTTGGGAAATGCTGTACTAGCCCTTCCGAAATACACAAAGTTTCTCTTTTCAATTCAGAATAGTCGCATCCCCCTTTTGGGAAATGGCAAAAACAGTTCTGCCATTCTCCGCAAAATAGCTGCACCTTGCAAACATCAGTGTGGTATACAAAGAATTACTATTATTATTATTTTACTGACACAAAAACACAGCATGTCACAGCAAACAAGATATATATGCTAGATTTCGTATTATATATGCTGGATTTCGTATACTATTTCATATACTCGTTTATTATTATTATTATTATTATTATTATTATTATTATTATTATTATATTTAGTTATACCCTGCTTTATATTGACCTCTTCTCTTTACTATTGTTTTGTGGCTCAATGGTTATGTTTTAGTTAGTATGTTTCTGAAATTTAAAAAATATTATTATTATATTTATTAATTAATAAATACATTTATTATTTTACTTATTTATACCCCGCTTTATATTTGCATTGAGCCACAAAGCAATAATACAGAGAAGAGGTCAATATAAGAATGATTAATATTAAGGATGAATATCTGTCCCATGGGTGGTGGGTGCTCACAAATTACTGTGCATGTATAAAAATATAGGATTAATTGTTTCACTGATTTATTGTATGATTTGTGTTAATGTTAGATTTAAGTAATTAGAAACAATAAAAACAACTACAAGTAGAAACCAAACAAAACAACCAAATCAATCTTACACAATGAAGTTATACAAACAACACCATCCATGAATCAGCATCATCACAACCTGCTGAGGAATACCAAAAACTAGAAGAGAATCACAGGCAAAAGAAAAAATGTTTTGAATGGCGCTGATAAGATTGCAATGGTGGTGATAGTCATAAATGGTTCTGGCCCAACTTACCTGTCCGAACGCATCTCCCCTTATGAACCCTCCAGGACTTTAAGATTGTCTGGGAAGGCCCTGCTCTCGGTCCCGCCTTCGTCACAAGTACGGCTGGCGGGAACGAGAGACAGGGCCTTCTCAGTGGTGGCTCCGAAGCTATTTTGAAAGAGAGTCAAGACTTGGCTCTTTGAGCAGACATTTCCAAATACAGTGTAACCGACATAGGAAAATGGAATGGCTGGACGATGTGATTGGACAATGTTTTTAATAGGAGACCCTAATGTTCCTGTTTCTATTGATTTTGTTATGGTTTTATTATCCGATTGTTTTGTTGTATTGAAATTGTATTTTGTGGTCTTGGCATCAACTGTAAACCGCCCTGAGTCGCCTGCGGGCTGAGAGGAACGGTATTTAAATATAGTAGGTAAATAAATCTCTAAGGCAGTGATTCTCAACTATGGGTCCCTAGGTGTTTTGGCCAACATCTCCCAGAAATCCCAGCCAGTTAACCAGCTGTTTGGATTTCTGGGAGTTGAAGGCCAAAACCTCTGGGTACCCACAGGTTATAAACTACTGCTCTAAGGGAAGTGTGAGCTTTTCAAACCGTTCTCCAGATGCTGGGCTCCAATTCCCATCTACTATAGGTAACACGACTTATGCCGCGGATGGTAGGGCATCGAATAGGACACAAAAGCCCACCTCTATAGCGGATAGCCACTATAGGGACTTACCTTTTGCACAATCTCCGCCAAGTCTCCACAGAGCCAGATGATGTCTCGGCTGGCCGAATAATCATGCAAGTGGAAGAACAGATACCTGCAAGAATATACTGGTAAGTCCTAATGCAATAGATTCCTTCAGAAATTTACTGTGCTGGCAGAAATCAAATGAACAGTGAGCCAAACCATTAAAACACACTGGGCTACTAGCTATAACTCAAAAGCCAACCTCCCATTGGGTTTCTACTGACCAAGTAGTATTACTTGGGGAACTTTGCATATTATTTTACAAAGGAAGTTACTGTTAGGCTGTTAGGAATTGTGGGAGTTGAAGTCCAAAACACCTGGAAGGCCAAAGTTGGTCCATGCCTGCTCTAAGTCCTGTAGTTTGACTTCCTAGAGAAAGCATTTTAAACTAATCAGTGAATGATCAAATCCGTGAAACCAAACCCGGGAATGCGGGGGGCCGACTGTGTAACTATCTTATCTTTATTCATCCGTCTGAAAGGAGTTGAAAAAGAATAAATTAGACAAAATTGGAAGTTGGATGGAACAAATAAAGGAGAAGAGCAGCATTAAGGAAATCCTAGGCAAATTAAATGTATTTATTTATTCATTTACTATATTTATATACCGCTTTTCTCAGCCCATGGGCGACTCAAAGCGGTTTACAGAGGCAAAATTCAAAGCCCAAAAAAATCATAATTTTTTTTAAAACAATTAAAAACAATAGCATAAATATACAATCATTACAAGGTCAATAAAAGATATCATGGCTCCCTTGGGTCCAACTGGACCAATAGTTCAAAAATTGGAAAGGAACGTGCTCAGAGGGAAGAGAAACAACAAAATTTGAAAATATAATATTAAAAGAACAGGCTAAAGAAGAAAATGAGAATCAAAAAGGGATAACAAGTATGATGCACAAAATATTAATAGAGATTAAAGGGGGGAGAAAAGGGATACAAACAAGGGAAGTATGAGAGGAAGAATCTATATAAATAAAAATGTAATGTTCGTTTGTGGTATTCACAGAACTCAAAAACCACTGGGGCAATTGGCACCAAATTTGGATACGATACACCTAACAACCCAATGTATGTTTTCCACTCAAAAAAACCACGAAAACAAAAAGCAGAAAGGACTTCTGAATTACATGTCCACAAAGGAGAAACTGCATGTCTACAAAGAGTCCTATGGCCACGCCCCCTCCTCCTCCTCGCGGGGAAACAGCCGGCCGTTAAAGCCAGGCACACGTTCACAGCCATACACACAAGCTGGAGTGCAGGTGGAGGCTTGCCGCATGGAGCCCCTTCTCTTTCCCTGCTATGTCAGGAGGGCAGTCTCCTCCTCCTTTCCGTGTTGGAAGCGGCAGCAGAGGAGCCCCCAGGCAAGGGACGAGGAGGAGGAGGAGGCGAGGAAGGTTGACGGTGCTTGAGTGAAGGACCTTCCTGCTCTCCCTCACTCCCTTCCCCTCTTTCCTCCCCCTCCTTCTTTCCTCCCTTTCTTTCCTTTTCTTCCTTCCTTCTCCTTCCTTTCCTTCTTTCCCCCATTCCCTTCCTTCCTGTCCCACCTTCCTTCATCCTTTCCTTCTTTTCCTACCTCTCTCCCTTCCTCCTTCTTTCCCTTTCGTTATTTCCTCCCCCTTCATTTCCTTCCCTCCTTTCTTCATGCCCCTCCTTCCTTTCCCTCCTTCCTTCCTTTTTCCTTCATTCGCCTTCCTTCCCTTCTTTCCCTCCTTCCCTTTCTTTTTCCTTCCTTCCTGTCCCTCCTTCCTTCTTCCTTTCCTTCTTTCTATCTAAGGTATAAATACAATATTAAATGTGACAGACAAGAAGTAACGAGAGAAGGAGGGAAAGAGGGAAGGAATGAAAGAGGGAAAGGGGGAAGGAAGGAAGGAGAGAAGGAGGAAGGGAATGAGGGAAGGAAAGAAAGAAAGGTAGAGAAGCAAGGAAGGAGAGAAGGAAGTGAAAGGAAAAAGAGAGGGAAGGAAGGAGAGAAGGAACGAAAGATAGAGAAGGGAGGAAGAAGGAAACGAAGAATGTAACCAAAGAGCAAAGAAAGGCAGGAAAGAAACAGGTAGAGATGGAAGAAAGAACAGAAATAGGGAAAGAAAAAGAGGAAAGGAAGGAAAGAGGGAAGGAAGGAAAGAAAGAGGGAGGGAAGGTTGGCCACAGCAATGCGTGGCGGGTATAGCTAGTTGAGAATAAAAATAAGAGAAAGTAATTGGGAAAAATTATGGAGAGCAAGACTCCTCAAGAATTTATCAATAAGGATAAAAGAAAACTACTACAAGATGGTATGGAAATGGTATCTGAACCCGACAAAGATACACAATATAGATAAGGGTTGTTCAGAAAAATGTTGGAGGGGTTGCCAAGTACATATATCCACACATTGTGGCAATGCAAATATGTACAGAGGTTCTGGGGAAAAGTTATAGTAGAAATAGAAAGCATTATGAAGAAAAAAATTAATATAAATCCAGCGACTATACTATTATCTATTTATAATACAGATGAATGGAAGGAAAATGAAAATAAACTGATAATGTTGTTAACGGCTGCAAGGCTACTAACAGCAAAATATTGGAAAGGAAAGGTGGAAATTAAGATAGAAGAATGGTACAAGGAAATTTGGAAATTAGAAATAAATCAAAAATTAACATGCAATCTAAAGGTCAAAAAAGGCCCAAGGAAGGATAATAATTTTGAAAATATATGGAAAATATTTATTAAGGAAACATTAAGGAAAGAAGATGGGAACCAACTCCCACCAGAAGAAATGAGGTTCTGGTGGGAGCATAAAGAAAAGAACTCCGGAGATGGGGAGAACAAAGGGTAGCACAACTGGGGAAAGGAGAAGAAGTAATTGTTTGAATTATAGAGATTTTTTCTTGTAGTTAAATGAATATAAATGCAATAAAATTATTTTTAAAAAATAAAAGAAACTCCCAAAGCAGGGGACAATCTCAATAATTACTACCTGTTGAGCCATAAGAAGAGACCTTTAGCTGCCCCGATCAGCTCTACGATGCAGGCCAGGAGGTCTGAATTCGGCTTGTCAACAGCGTCACCGTTGTATGTGCTGACTTTCCGGCGGCTCAATATGAACACCTGGATGGTCCGAATGATCCCTTGGAGCTTCTCTGTGAGCGTCCGCAGGCTCAGCGACGACAGCTCATAGTTCTAAGGAGAGGAGTAGAACTCACTCAGCAAAGCAGGAAAGAGATAATATATAGACTGTGGCTGGGAAAATTAGTTTAAAAATGGCATTTCCCAGTCAGCATGGTCACAAAAGATTGTAGGTTTTTTTTTAAAGCAATAATTATAAGTTCAGCCAATGGCTGATATTGATGAACTGCTACTCCCGTTAGCAGAATGGCTGGAGTAGGTAGGCATCAAAGAGCATAATAGTAGAAAAATAAGTAAACAAACAGGGAGCCCCCAGTTATACAATGGGTTAAACCTCTGAGCTGCTGAACTTGCTTATCAAAAGGTCGGCAGTTGGAAACCGGGGAGTGGGGTGAGCTCCCACTGTTAGGCCCAGCTTCTGCCAACCTAGCAGTTCGAAAACATGCAAATGTGAGTAGATCAATAGGTACCGCTTCTGCAGGAAGGTAACAGCACTCCATGCAGTCATGCTGGCCACATGACCTTGTAAATGTCTACGGACAACACTGGCTCTTAGACTAGACTTAAGGGGAAACCTTTTCTCTCTCTCTCTCTCTCTCTCTCTCTCTCTCTCTATATATATATATATATATATATACACACTAACCATCCCCTGCCACATATTGCTATGGCCCCGTCTGTGTATATATGTTTTGTGTGTGTATATATTTGTGTTTATGTGTGTGTATAAATTTGTGTATATGTGTATTTATGTGGTTTTGTGCATGCATTGTAATTGTTTTTGGTTTTTTTGTTTCTGTTTTTTGTTTTGCTTTTTAGGTCTCTTCCACTGTGTTTTTCAGTGTTTTTATGAGTGATGGTCACTCGTTGGCCTGATAGGTGTATTGTGTCCAAATTCGGTGTGAATGTGTCGAGTGGTTTTTGAGTTATTTATTTATTTTTCAAACTTATATGCCACCACTCCCCTGGGGCTCGGAGCGGCTTACAAGAACAGGCTAAAATTTAACACAATTTAAAAGCAATTTAAAACCATTTAAAAACAATTTAAAAACAACAATATCAAAGATCAAAGGCCTGTTGAACATTACATTTTTATGTATATAGATACTAGCTGTCCTCTGCCACGCGTTGCTGTGGCCCAGTCTATGTATATATGTGTTTTCTGTGTGTATATATATGTGCATATGTGTGTGTATTTGTGTATATGTGTGTGTGTGTGGTTTTGTGCATGTGTTGTAATGTATTTTTTGTTTTTTGGCTTTTTAAGTCTCTTCTGCTGTGTTTTTCGGTGTTTTATGAGTGATGGTCACTCGTTGGCTTGATATGTGTATTGTATCCAAATTTGGTGTCAATTCGTCCAGTGGTTTTTGAGTTATGCTAATCCCACAAACGAACATTGCATTTTTATTTATATAGATGGAGCCCCCGGTGGCGCAGTGGGTTAAACCCCTGTGCCGGCAGGACTGAAGAACGACAGGTCGCAGGTTCGAATCCGGGGAGAGGCAGATGAGCTCCCTCTATCACCTCCAGCTCCTCATGCGGGGACATGAGAGAAGCCTCCCACAAGGATGATTTAAAAAACAACAACATCAAATCATCCAAGCGTCCCCTGGGCAACGTCCTTGCAGACGGTCAATTCTCTCACACCAGAAGCGACTTGCAGTTTCTCAAGTTGCTCCTGACAAGACATATATATACATATACATATACATATATATATAACACTCACCAATATACAGAGTTGTTCCACTGCTTCCAGAAGCAATTCCTGATGGCCAACGCGTCTCACACCCAAAACCTCCAGGTCCCGATAAGACAAACGGAGCAGCCTCTTCCCATTCAGGCCCCACGTCTCAAAAGGGTAGTCTTGTAAGACTGGATCCAATCCTAAACATGGGAGACAAGAGAAGCATTCACTTTCCTCTCTTTTATGAAACTGCCACAGTAGATCGGCAGACACACATGGGTGAGGACCTGAGTCCTTAAAAGTATTATAAGATCTCCGGATGAGGCTGCACGTCTGCCACTTCAGATCCCATATCAAACACAAGAAATATATACATGCCCAAGCTATGCCTCTTACAGAGAATGATCCCTCAGCAGTTAGCAATCCTTTACAGGCAGTCCCCAAGTTACAAATAGGTTCTGCGAGTGTGTTCTTAAGTTGAATTAGTATGTAAGTCGGAAAAGGTACATTTTTAAAGTCAAAAATATATCTATCATTTAGCTTTGGACAGCATAGGGAGTTAGTTAGGCGATCCCTCGTTTTCCGTGGAGGATTGTCTTCCAATATTCTTGTGGGTCTGTATGTGGCTGTGGAGCCCTATTCTTGCTCTGCATCTTCTTCCGCAGTGAGGGCATTGGTTTCCAGGTGGAAGGCGGTCTTGGTCGGGGTTGGCTTGACGCGCCTTCCTCTTGGCACGCTTCTCCCTTTCGCCCTCCATTTGTGCCTCTTCAAATTCTGCAGCACTGCTGGTCACAGCTGACTCCAGCTGGAGCGTTCAAGGGCCAGGGCTTCCCAGTTCTCAGTATCTATCCCAGAGTTTTTAAGGTTGGCTTTGAGCCCATCTTTAAATCTCTTTTCCTGTCCACCAACATTCCGTTTTCCGTTCTTGAGTTCGGAGTAGAGCAACTGCTTTGAGAGACGGTGGTCAGGCATCCGGACAACGTGGCCAGTCCAGCAGAGTTGATGGCGGAGGACCATCGCTTCAATGCTGGTGGTCTTTGCTTCTTCCAGCACGCTGACGTTTGTCCACCTGTCTTCCCAAGAGATTTGCAGGATTTTCCGGAGGCAGTGCTGATGGAATCGTTCCAGGAGTTGCATGTGACGTCTGTAGACCGTCCACATTTCGCAGGCATATAGCAGGGTTGGGAGGACAATAGTTTTATAAACAAGCATCTTGGTCTCCCTACAGATGTCCCGGTCCTCAAACACTCTCTGCTTCATTCAGAAAAATGCTGTGCTCGCAGAGCTCAGGCGGTGTTGTATTTCGGTGTCGATGTTGACTTTGGTGAAGAGGTGGCTACCAAGGTAGCGGAAATGATCAACATTTTCTAATATTACACCATTAAGCTGTATCACCGGCATTGGAGAGGGGTTGGCTGGTGTCTGCTGGAAGGGTTAACACCACTGTGGTGTTTGTTTTACCACCTGTGCCCCTGTTCAGAAGATTTCACCTCACTTTCTGATAAATGAATTTAGAAAACTTTGGCTTGTTGTGGAAACAAGGATTGGTGAGAAAGCTTCATTTGAGACCCCCTTTCTCCATAATAATAATAACTCTTCCAGGAATGGATTTCACGTCCCAGGGGTAGGCTTCTCTCACTTCCTGTTGTCTCACCCTTGTTCTTAACTAGGAGTCATTTGTTAGTCGGATGTTTGTAACTTAGGGACAGCCTTACATTGTGGGACAAACTCAATAGTGAAACAATCATTGCTAACAGTGTTTAATGCCACTATGAAGATTGTATGTACATTTCCTACCGGAAGCTGTTCAACCAAATGACGCCTCCCTCTTTGTAAATAAACACACCATTCCTGGTATATAAATACCAGTTTTTCAAACTCTGTTGTCAAATTTTGCACGGATATAGAAGAAGTTGATACTTGTTAATCACTTGCTTTAAGTTTTGAAATTAACATTCAGAGGAAGAAATATATCAAGAGTGAGACTCACACAACCTTCCAGATCAACGTTTCTCAACCTGGGGGTCAGGATCCCTGGGGCTGGGGGGGGGGGTCACAAGGGGGTTTCAGAGGGGTCACCTAAGATCATCAGAAAAATATATATATTTGATAAACTAACTTTCTTATTAAAGAAAAATTCGGGAAATCCGATTAAATATACAGACTGGTCCAAGTTTGAGGAATATGAAAAAATGGGAAATTAAAAGAATGAAGAAATAAGAAGAACCAATTGAATTCATTTAAATGTTATGAAATATTACCCTCACTATACAGATCATTTATACAGAGACAAAGGTAAACCCGCAAAGGACTAGATGGAAGTCACCAAGCATTTTTTTTTTATTTTTCTGGACAATCTTTTGCATAAACTCATTTTTTGTTTTGTTTTGCTTTTTCTTGTTTTGTTCCCCCCCCCCATTCTATCTCTCTATAAGGTTTCCTACTTTTCTATCATTTAATGTATTCCCACTTTACTTGTATTAGAAAAATATCTTTTCCCCTCCCTTTCCCATTTTTTTGTTTATCCTTGTTTTTCCCTTCACTCTTATTCCCTAATAAAATATATATTTTAAAAAAAGAAAACATATATTCTATGATTCTATTATTTCTGATGGTCTTACGAGAAGGATGAAGATTCTCCACCTGTCCTTCTCTTCCTTTTTTTTGGAAACAGATAGAGAATTCTCTCACCAAAAGCTCTCCTCCGCTGTGATTAGGCAGCCTCTCATCCAAGGGGAGGGCTGTTTCTGAGATTTCAATCATGGGAAGAGGGGTGAGCACGTGTGCTTGGCACATGGTGTGCATGTGCTGGCAAGGGAGAACATGCAAGGCTGGAGGGAGGCTCATGCCAGTGAGTCCCTTCAAGGCATGAGGGTTCTGTGTGGGAAGTTTGGCCCAATTCTATCGCTGATGGGGGTCAGAATGTGCTTTGATTTTAGGTGAACTATAAATTCCAGCACAACTCCCAAATGTCAAGGTCTATTTTCCCCAAACTCCATCTATGTTCATACTTGGGCATACTGAGTATTCATGCCAAGTTTGGTCCAGATCCTTCATTGTTTGATTCCACAGTGTTCTCTGGATGTAGGTGAACTACAACTCCAAAACCCAAGATCAATGCACACCAAACCCTTGTAGTGTTTTCTGTTGGCCACAGGAGTCCTGTGTGCCAAGTTTGGTTCAATTCCATCATTGGTGGAGTTCAGAATGCTCTTTGATTGTAGGTGAACTACAAATCCCAGCAACTACAACTCCCAAATGACAAATTCAATCCCTCCCCCAACTCCACCAGTATTCAAATTTCAGCGTATAGGGCATTACAGCTTAATGGTGTAACATTAGAAAATGTTGATTATTTCCGCTACCTTGGCATCCACCTCTCCACCAAAGTCAACATCGACACCGAAATACAACACAGCCTGAGTTCTGCGAGTGCAGCATTTTTCCAAATGAAGCAGACAGTGTTTGAGGACCGGGGCATCCGTAGGGATACCAAGGTGCTTGTTTACAGAGCTATTGTCCTCCCAACCCTGCTATATGCCTGTGAGATGTGGACTGTCTACAGACGTCACATGTAACTCCTGGAACGATTCCATCAGCGCTGCCTCCGGAAAATCCTGCAAATCTCTTGGGAAGACAGGGGGACAAACGTCAGCGTGCTCGAAGAAGCAAAGACCACCAGCATTGAAGCAATGGTCCTCCACCATCAACTCCGCTGGACCGGCCACGTAGTCCAGATGCCCGACCAGCGTCTCCCAAAGCAGTTGCTCTACTCTGAACTCAAGAACGGAAAACGGAATGTTGGTGGACAGGAAAAGAGATTCAAAGATGGGCTCAAAGCCAACCTTAAAAACTCTGGCATAGACACTGAGAACTGGGAAGCCCTGGCCTTTGAGCGCTCCAGCTGGAGGTCAGCTGTGACCAGCAGTGCTGCAGAATTTGAAGAGGCACGAATGGAGGGCGAAAGGGAGAAGCGAGCCAAGAGGAAGGCGCATTAAGCCAACCCCGTACAAGACCGCCTCCCACCTGAAAACCAATGCCCTCACTGCAGGAGAAGATGCAGGTCAAGAATAGGGCTCCACAGCCACATATGGACCAACAAGAATACTGGAAGACAATCCTCCTCGGAAAACGAGGGATCGCCTAAGTAAGTAAGTTTCGGGCATTTGTGCCAAATTTGGTCCAGTGAATGACAATACATCCTGCATATCAGATATTTACATTACGATTCATAACAGTAGCAAAATTACAGTTATGAAGTAGCAACAAAAATAATTTTATGGTGGGGGGGTCACCAAAACATGAGGAACTGTTTTAAGGGGTCATAGCATTAGGAAGGTTGACAACCATTGTTCCAGATGTTGCTGGACTGCAAATAGCAATAGCCCTAAGCCCCTTGTATACTGCCACATAAAATCCAGACTATCTTCTTTGAACTGGATTATATGGAAGTGTAGACACATATAATCCAGTTCGAAACAGATAATATGGATTATATGCTTTGGTAATGAAGTGTAGAAGGGTCCCCAGCCTCTGTGGAAGCCTCTGAACAGATCTTGCCAAGAAAACCCTGTGACAGGTTCACCTTAGGGTCACCATAAGTCAGGAATAATTTGAAAGTACACACCACCATCATTATAGAAACCTCGAGATATATATTAAATTGTACAAAGTTGGAGGAGATATCATAACATCTAGCTTCTCAGATCTGACAGATTAAATTATCATATATTGGTTCAGTGTTTGTTCTGCAAACTTGAATGGCAGGAAAAATATCATAACGGCAAAGACGAGGCAGTCTGAGAGATTTGCTTGAAATCTCCCTGCTTCCCTCTTTTTTGGTCTTATCTATCTCTTTGCCTCTTGGGTTGGAAATACACAGAACCTCCTCAAAAAGGAACCCCCAAAAGAAGAGAGGATTACGGCCACTTTTTGGCTACGGCCCCCTTCCGCACTCACTCCCTTGCCCTATCCACCACGTCAACATGCCTGAAAAGGTCAGGGTGATTGTTTCGGGAAGTGGAGAAACTGCCATCCCACTCATTGAACCCTGCCCAGCCCAGGAATGCTTCTAATTTGGGTCGGAAAGAGAGGTCGGGCAGCTCTCCGAGCCTCTGTAGGCTTTTATAGAATCATAGAATTGGAAGAGACCTCGTGGGCCATCCAATCCAACCCCATTCTGCCAAGAAGCAGGAAAATT